TGCAAAAATCTGCTAAGTTACATTAGTGAAATTTATTTTACCCATATAAGTCACTTTATATTTAATCTTCACTATCTTTCATAGCCACATTTTTCACTTTTCCTGTTATAGTAACTCTAAAAATCCTTTACTCCACCTTAGCCTTGGCTTAATACAACATGACATGCTACTTACATTTTGTTCCATAAATGTAAATCGTTTTCTGTTTTTCAATGTTATCTTTATTTATTTATTTTAATATCTTTACTTTGTTCAAGGTCTCAGTGAGTAAGAGTGCACAGGTGGAAAAAGCTGTGTAAAGACTCATTTGGGTGATGAAGGCCTCAAATGATGCACGAGTTGAGGTTGAAGTTTAGAGTTACAAAGAATCGTGTTCAGACATCTGTAACCATTTTCTTAAATCTACTTCTGACAAACAACCTGAGATTGCATTAAGTGATATTTGCATTACACACCATAATCTTGGAGCCACCTGTTGCCATTCTGGGTGATATAAGAACCAGGTTTTGATAAAAGCACCAGATTTTGATATAAGCACTAGGTTTTGAGAAGAAGAAAAAGAAGAAGAAAAATCGTGTGGAATCAGCTATAATGTATATATCATATATGTTTGCATGTACCTCCAAATCTAGTTATATCAGTCCATACACGGTATAGATTAAATTTATGTCTGCTCTTCTGTCTTCATTCATCATCATCATCATCATCATCATCATCAACTCACATCATCTAGCGGACTTAAACCTTGAAAATCATCTTTCCTTTTCCCTGTTGTCATTTTTCGCTGCAACCAATTTCAGAATTAATTACACCTTCCCACCACAGACGACCTTTTTTTAATGGCCAGACTGGCTTTTCGGCAGCGAGAGGGTTCACTGTCAGTGTGTATAAAATGTGTTCTTATTTCATATACCACATATTATCTCTGCAATCTCAGCCCAAGAATGGTAAACCTCAGATATTCTAATATATCTAAAGCTGCAGGATATAGTTCATTAACTTCTAATTAGATTTAATGTTCAGTGAGAACACAGTGATTTGCATTTCGCTGTTCTTTCTGCGCTTGGCAGTAATATTTACCTGGAAATGTGCTGAAAGGGAACTTGGTATTCTAAAAAGAGGACTTATTGTAGGTTTGTAGGGTTCAGCATTCTTATGATGGTATTGGTAGGATGATTTTAAGGCTTTTAATGGGCTTCTCTAAACTATGCGTGTGTTACTATATTTTTTTTCTCTATACAGCTGAGTCTATGCAGGAAATGTAACGGCTAACCTAATCTAGTTAAGCTGGAGCGCCCCCTCGTGGTTCCTTCCATCATGCACATCTAAGACGATTGAACATGAACACCCTTAACAGATTTATTTTTGCAAGAAAGTGACTCCTTGTGAAAAATTTTAAGGCTGTAAGTCAAACAGGTAACTGAAGATGTGCATTCAAGTGCTGTCGTAATAATCATGGATCAAGGATCAAGTCAGGGAAGAAAATGCCATAGCTTGACTTACACTGGTTTAAAAATGATTTATTAGCAGTAACCAAGACGGTAAAACAAAAGAGTCATTTCCGTAAAATACATGTCATCATTTTTTTTTGTTTTGTTTTCCATATTCCATCTTGAAACCACAAGAAAGTGGAAGGAAAAACTTTCCAACCTGGAAAACAAGACTATCCCAGAGGAGCTTTAGACTTTAAATCCATTATTGCTGCATTCAGGCTCAGATGGATAAAAAACATGCACTTCCTATGCTATGTGGTACCATATTCCCAACTCTTTAATAACGTCGGGGGATTAGATTCTTTGCTCAGATGTGATTATGAAATATCTAAGATTCCTCTTAAGTTGTCTAGTTTCTATAAGCAAGCTTTGAATTTTGGGAAACTAATTTTCACCCACAATTTTTCACCTCACAATTCTGTGCTGTGGAATAATAGGGTTATAGTCATCAATAAGAAGTCCTTATTTAAATCAGACTGCTATGATAGCGGTGTATGTTTTGTTGTTGATCTGCTTGATAAAACGTAAACTTGCTATCTTATGAAGAATTTATTGATAAGTATAAAATAGACGTTTCATTTAATAATTATAATAAGGTTTGTAAAGCAGCACCCATACCATTGTTAAATCTTATCGTAAATACTTTAAAGTATTCACTAATAAGAACTTACCTTCACTGACGATAGGTAATACCTCAATAAAGGACAAACAATTTAATAATAAGTTAATCTCTAATACCTTAGGAAAAGGAAATAGTATTCTGTAACTATAATGTCAATGTCAGACATGACCTTGATAGCATGTTGAAAGAAAAGTCATTTTCTTTTTACCTAAAATACCCACTTGCGCCTAAAACAAAAAAAACACACTTCAGAATCATATCTGGCATTTATCCAGTTGGAGAATTCCTGTATAAAAGGTTTAATTTTGAGGCCGACTCTTGTGCTTTCTGTTCTTCCGATCCAGAAACACTAGAGCATCTATTTTTCACTTGTCAGTATGTTAATGCTTTTTGGTTTGAAATACACTGTTGGGTTTCACTCAGAATTTCCAATATACCTTCCTTCACATCTAAGGATGTTCTTTACTTTATGGACAATCTGGATTCTGAAATCTCAGATGTTGTCAATTTTTTAATAGTGCTATGTAAGTTTTTTATTCATTTATGTAAGTGGAAGAATGCCTCTCCTATGTTTACCGCCTTCTTGAATTACTTTTGTCAATATTTTAAGTCACTTAAGCTTATTTCAAATATGAATAAAAAAAACTGCTGTACTATACTGTAAAATCACAAAATACTTGCTATTCTAATTTTCCTGCCTGTGTCAAAAGGTCTATGTTCCTTATTACTTTACCCTAGAAACTTTTATTTTCTCCCTGTAAAGTTATAATGACTTGCTTCACCATCTTTATAATGTAAATTGTTACAATTCTGGTCTGTTTCCTTGACTTGTTTTGTATATGAAAATGTCTTTCAATTAAAAAAAGAAAAGAAAAAGAAAGAAAGAAAGAAAGACTATCCCAGAGGCCCTGAATGCAAAGAGGAGCACTTACAGGTAAATAGCACCACCTAGCGGTGGACAAAAATACCTTTAAATGTAAAAGCTCTGCAACCAAAATCCTATTGAACTATAAATACCGAGGTATTATATACATAATGTGTCATTTTTTAAAGCAAATAACCTGTGTGCCAAAAAATATGAAATATTAGTATAAACTGCAGTATTACACTAAGTGCCATTAATCTGTTTGTGTGTGAGTCAGTCAGGCCTTCTCAAAAGGCCTCGAGATAAATCAGAAGCATCCTGACATAAGGAAAGAAAAGAAAAAAAGCAACTTTCTAGCTCTTTTATAGAAAGATGTTGCTCTCACTAGGCAAACTCTGCCTAAACACAACAATCTGAGAGAATCTTTAGTATATTTTTATGTCAAATGAAGAATAAAGCAGGATAAAGCGCCTCCAAATAATTACAGTACGTGCAGTTAAGTACTACCCAACACTGTCGAAACACAACAACTGGGGTTTCATCGCATTCCTTTATTTATCCAACTACTCGCTGGTAGAAAAGTCAAATGGTGTAGACAAGCTATCATTGTGTTACCACAATGTGAGTACAAAAATGAAAAAGATTGAATATACCAGCATATAAAAACATGTGAGTGTATCGGTGCAACTTCTTCCTGACATTTAGTTATGCAGACCATTAAGGTACATATTTATGCAATATAAATTTCATAAATATCTGCAAACATATACAAATGCATACGTAGATGTAGTCGGTCCATCCTAGAAAGTCTAGTTACAGCTAGACTTGGCTGACACACAGACTCAGCGTAAACAGCCTACAGAACAAGATCAAGTTTTGTGGCACTTCAAAAATAAATGAGTACAGTAACACACAGAAACAGCATCAGCGCTCCTTGTAAGCTGAAGTTATTCTACCTCCTAAAATCCCTTTTAAAATATGAAATGGGTGAGGATTTTGCCAAACACCAAAAATAATGGAATTGGTGATCTGTACCAGTACTTATATATGTATATATTTATATATATATTTGCCAAAAACCTCACAGATAAAAGGGATAAACTTTTTTTTATGAACATAATAATAAAAAAAAAAAACAGCAGAAAACTTATTCGGCAGATCTTTCAAGTGGTAAGCACTAGGGGTGTAACGATACACAAAATTTACGGTTCGGTTCGATACTTTGGTGTCACGGTTCGATATTTTTTCGATACAAAAAAATGTTCATGCCTTTTTAATTTGTCATTTATTAAAATTATAAATATATATTTGAACTCAAAAGTAGTTTTTAAATTTAATGTTGCTGAAACAACAAAATAATAAAATGACATTAACGCCATAACGCCGCAAATCGCCGTTAACGAGTTACCG